GGCACTTACCACCTTGTGACCAGCCACAGTGTCTGAGATGGGGCTAGAACCTGAGGCCTAGTGGGAGAAGACGAGAGGGAACCAGAGGTTGGCTGAGTTTGTGCCCAGATATTTAAACCAGGTCCAGCTACACTGACCAGCAGAACCAGGGCAGGCAGTGCAGGGAGACAGGCTGGAGCTGCCCTGGCCTGAGGGAGTTGCTCATCCCCTCATAGCTCCTCCCTCTCACCCACAGGACAGATCCTGAGAAAACCCCAGGCCTCTCTCCCTGCCTACTGCAAGCCCTGCTGCTCCCACACAAACCTATAGCTTTGCCACTCCCCCAGTTATTTATCCAAAGTCCCTCCTCTACCTGTGCCCACTGTGCAATAACCAGAATACCTTGTGTTCCAACAGTATTTGAACTTCTTTGAGGATACCCTTTATTCAGCAGCTGAAACCACACTTGGAGGCCTGGTGGGAACCAAGTATAGAGCCTATGATGGCTCAGCTTGAGGGGTTTTAAGAGCAAAAGCCATCTTCCATTCTCCCCTCCCTCTGGCTCTTTCTCATCTCACATCTGTTTTCTCCATTTGTCCCCTCTCCCCCTTTTCCATTATTCCAGCATATTCCAGGATTTCAGGATATCCTTCCTAGGCTGATTTGTGAAGTGTTGCGCAAAGTACATGACTAAATAAGCACTCTCTCCTTCAAAGCAGATTTCATGAGATGCTTGTCTCAGCATTATTTGTGATACCAAATAACTTTGATATCTAATAGTAGGAGGATGCTTAAATAAGTTACGGTACATCCAAGATGTAATGTCTCATAGCCATCAAAAACTGTATGTCTGAAGAATTATGAAGAACATTGGAAATCTTAGGCTATGCTACTGATTGGAAAAAAGATTATATAGTATATCTCAATTTTGTCTTGATATATTAAAATATATTACACTATATTTTAGTGTAATAAATTGAGGCCTGGTGCACAAAATTCGTGCACTGGGTGGGGGGGGGGGGTCCCTCAGCCTTCACCCTCTCGCTGTCTGGGACCCCTCACATTCCTGGTCCCCACCCTTCTCAGCACAATGTCTCACCTCTGACCTCAGAAGCACTTTGTACCTTGTTTGCAGCATTTGTCACTTTGTACTTTGTCTTTCGGTTAGTATATACCTCTCTTTCCTCTTCTGGACAGTAAGCCCCTTGAGATGAGATTCCTATGGGATCTATTGTATACACCTCACAGTGTCACACCCAGCAGATGAACAATAAAAAATGTATTGGTCATCGGGTAAAGTCAGTCTGAATGACATTTAGCAACTGCTGCCTCTGCAAAGCAGTCACCACACTCAAGGCCGGGATTTTGCGCTCACTAGTTCAGAGGCCCCAGGCAGACTACAAACTATGACAAAGGGTTTTGTTTGTATAAAATGGATTCATCACAAATCTACCAAGTCAAGAATTCCAGATAACGCGTTTCAGCCTTCACCTGCAGATCATGAAAAATATGGTGGTGATCTGCAGCACCCCCATAAACTGCACATTGTAACTAGAATAAAAAGTTCAAGAAGATGTCCTCATTGGGAGAAAGATGTAATAAAGATGCTTGGATTAGAAAATGAGCATACCCCTCAAGTTCACAAGAGAACCCCTTCGGCAAATAGAAAATTGACAGTGGTTAAACATTTGAGAAGAATAAAGCCCCTGCCCTAGCTGGTTTGGCTCAGTGGATAGATTGTCAGCCCATGAACTGAAGGGTCCTGGGTTCAATTCCAGCCAAGGGCACGTACCTCGTACCTTGGTTACAGGCTCGATCCCTGGCCCTGGTTGGCAACCAATCAATGTTTCTCTCTGTCTCTCCCCCTCCTTTCCACTCTCTAAAAATCAATGGAAAAATATTCTTGAGTATTAACAACAACATAAAAGAATGAAGCTCCTGAGGTGGCCACAAGACAAGGACCTCCAGTGGAGGAGGACATGCTCACCCATGCGGTGGCATCTAAGCCCTGTCGACCAGGAGACAAATAAGTCCTAATGCCAGAGCCATTTCAGATTTAAAATTTCAAATCATCTTTTTAAAAGACGGTGAAAAGGTTAAGTTTGCAAGACAATAGAACTGAGATCTGAAACCTGGTTTGGCCATCTCCAAAAAATATGTGACTAACCACAATCAATGCCTCCTTGTTTTCTTATATATAGGGACATATTCATGTGGGAACCTGTTAACACTACCTGTAGACATCTCTAATAAGCACATGCATTTTTGTCACTTGGCAATAACAAACAATTTCTCAAATTCCATAGTCACTTTTTGTGGCTTAGTCCTAAATATCTGAGTGAGAGGGACAGCCTGAACCCCAATGTTCACTTAGTTTGTTCCCAGAGACCTTTATACAATACTAGAGGCCCGATGCATGAAATTCTGCAAGGGGCTCAGCCCTTGCAGCCCCAGGATGCCTCGGCTTCATCCGGAAGGTCGTCTGGATAGTTGATCTGCTATTTGGTCTAATTAGCATATTAGCTCTTTATTATATAGAATGACAACTAGTTGGTGAGGGTGATGACATACTTGAAGATTTATGATTCATTGGAAGCATTTCCAACCCAGAAATATCAATGTTCTGACCTGCTTCATGTTAAATCATATCCCCTTTC